TTTATTGAGGTCCCCTTTGATAGAAATCATGTTCTGGGGAGGCCTACTTGAACCACGGGGCCTCAAGCAATTGAGTGGTTTGCGTGGTGCCTAAACACTCTGCTGATTAGAGCATAGCCGTAAAATCATAATTTTACATGCAGAGTATATTGGTAAGCAAAAAAGCCACTCACGTTCAGAGTTTTCGCCCTTAAAGTAGCCGATAAGGCGTATGTCTTCATCCATTCGCTCAAAGGCACGTTGTTCCATGGGATTACTGATCAACTCCACTGGGTCCTCCAGCAGCTGAAGAATGATGTGACACACACACATTATGAAAATTAACTGAAAAATTAAGTCAGAAACATTATTTATATGTAAAAAAAAAATGAAATAAAAATGAAAATGTATTTAATATTGCTTAAGCAACTTTAATACATTAATTTATACCACCAATCTACTTTATATAGGATTAATATGTAGAAATTACTCTTTAAAGTAACAATTGTAGGTTACTACTTGTGCAGTTAGAGAGCCATGTTAGCAAGATCCATAATCTTAAAAGCTGTTTAAACAGTATATCAAAAAGCACAGCCACAGTATATGCACAAATTTCACTCACATCTAGCAGGAATTCAACCAGTGTATCTGCAGAGAGCTCTCCATCAAACTCAATCACTCTTTCATCCTTAAACACATAGATGCTTCCTTCCTCCTCCAGACCTAATGGACAAAGATCACATGATTCAGTGAGGATGCTGTGTGTCAAACCTCAACAATGCCAAGACATATTAGATGTTTGTTACTGAAACGGTAAAGTAAGAAAACTTTATCTAAAAAGCAATGTAATTAGCACAGTGCCTCTTACCAAGCTTTTTGGCAACCTTAGCATCTTTATGTGAGTCTAGCAATCCAAAACCAATATCCTTGTCTTCGAGAACTTGAGCAGCAAGCTGGTGATGCATGGAAGAGACACATCAGTACATTCATAGTGTGAGAATTATATACACAACTGTTGTCTATATAATACCAATTTAGTCTGGGCCAACGCTTTCACAGTATATCTAAAGAGTCTTAAACCTGGAAAAGTTTTGTGTAATGTATGGCTGATATCTGCATATAGTCAAATCTATACTTCATTAACTTTGTTATCATAAGTAAACCCAGCATTGGTGTTTGTGGAGCCTTTGTTAGCCTCAAAATCAGGTCAGTCTTTACACTAAATTGCACATCAGGTAGACACAGAAAGCAGATGTACAGTCTGACACCCTGGTGCAGCCAATTGTTACTCTATGGTGCATTTTATATGGAGCATCTGAAACTATTTTTGATATTCAGGTTCATATAGTACTTCACTCAGCTGCTTATCCTGAAGAGACTCAGATAGTATTTTCAAGCATATTTTCTAAGTCAATGATTTCCAACCGGGGGTACTAATGCATGTTCCACGGATCACTTAGGTTAAAAAATTGGGTTAAAAAAATGAAACAAATGGTTAGCGTCCAAAAGAAAAAAGAAGAAAAAAATCTTTAAAAATGTACTTTAAATGAATGTGCCAAGCTAACTAACTATATCATACCAAAAACTCTCATACCACTTTAAATACAAATGTAATTTAGTTACATTTCAAAAAGGTACCTTACATAACCATCCAATAAAAACTGATACATATTTTTCATACACCTTGAAAACATACGAGTGTACACATTTTAACCATTCTAATTAGGTTTTGCAATATATTTTTAAAAAAGGTAAAAATATCTTACAACCTGAACTAACCCTGTCATGTCAGAAAATTTGAAACTACAAGATATTTTAAGAGACTTATGACTTTGACACAAAGGTTATTCAGGGGTCTTCTCTGATATAATTTCCTGTTTTATATATCAAATTAAAATTAATTATTAAAGCTAAACTGTTTATTTTTATTTTTTATTTAATTAAAATGAATTTAAAATTAATAATAAAAAATTCCTACCAGTTTCCACATGTTGTGTGTGTGAGACCTCGTCCCACCCAAATAAAAGTTCATCATAATACATATGATGGTCTGTTCTAAAAATATACCATTCAGTACATCTGTCCTTATTCATCCACCAAATTCCTCAGTTGCAATAATTTCTTACCTCCAGAACCATCTCCCTCATGTGAAACTGCTGCTGGAGCTCCTTATCTGAAGGCAGGGGTTCGTGAAACAGCAAACACATCATGTCATACTTCTTTAATGCCTTCTTATAGTTTCTCTCATTGACATTAAGAACTCTGTCCTTGCCATCGAAACTGGGAAACTCCAGACCCTCCTCTGCAGAAGAGTACAGGAGAAAATCCATGCAGGAAACCAAGACAAGCCAGACAGACAGCATAGTAGCAATGATTGAACAGGTGAATGAAAAGAAGAGACTGCTGGAAAGAGTCCAGGTAAGATCCTGCAGGACAGTGAGGCTGACCAACAAAATGAGACTCAATGTGTAGTTCTTCAGCACTAAAAAACATCTTATGCTCTCTTCCTCCCTCTGCCACCTCACCTCTTCCCAACAATTAGGCAAAGACATGATAGGATACGATATTTGAGAGATGTTCCAATGAGTATTCCCCTGGTGAATTTAGGCCTCTTTTAGTGACCCAGTCATTTAAAGGCTAAAAATAAATCATGATCTGAAGAAAAAGAGGACAGACATGAGTACCATAGGGAATGACAGCACACGTCTCTCAACATGTAGAGGATAATCATTGTAGAACAAAAATCAAAATATAGGTCACCTGAACACATGAAAAGAGTCCTGTGTACCTACAGTTAGGGTACACTTTCAGAAAAAAAAGTACAATGCACACATGTACCTTATTTACCCTAAAGTGTACATAAGTGCTTTAAAGGTACATATTAGTACCTAAAATGTACATGTTAGTACCTTAACAGTACATATTTGTACCTTTCGAAAGGTGCCGCCCCAGTGACAGCTTTTATTGTGGTTTTTTTTCTTTTTCTGAGAGTGTAATAGGAATACAGGTTAACACTGGGAGCATCTTGACAGAAGATCAGACATCTTGAATGATACAAAGGTTATACTGTATGGATTTAGATGATGGGTACCAGCTCAGATGAGAGTAAAAGGGAAGATAGCAAATGGGTGTGCAAAGAAGCACTTTGCAAAGAAAAGAGATATAGACATACATGTAAAATATACAGTAATAAGAGCATCAGATGAGGAGCAGATGGCAAAAACGATGGGAGGAAGACAGAACAGGTAGATAGTTTTATAGCATTCAAATAAAAATAAAAGACGAAACCATAATCTCCAGATTTTGGCTCATTTTAGGAGGGTAAGATGGGTGAAGAAGCCCCCTTAAGAACAATGTCCGTATACTGATAAACTGTAACACATTTACATAAGTTTAGCATGTAGAGGATCATTAAGCATGACCCAACAGACTAGGAATCAAATTGAAACAGTTAACAGTTTAGTTGTAATGACACAAAAATTAAAAATATGAAAGGAGGCAAGATGCCCCCAGGGGGAATGTATCTTTATATGACAAATAAAGTACAGAAGCATATTACAGAGAGAAGTATCTGAAAGGCAATTACATTCAACATTTAAACCTGAAAACATGCCACAATATAGCAACAGTTACAATGCAGTGAGACTGCACTATTTTATAGACTTCTTTTATACTGAGCTAAATATAATTACTATAACCTATAACCTTAACCCTCCAGGAATTTTCCTTTTGTTGTTGTGTTTTTTTTTTTGTTTGTTTTTTTTTAGATTTTTATTTTCTTTATTTTTATATATCGTTTTTTACAAATTAGGATGTCCCTGGATGTCAGGGGTTATTGGTTAGATCAGTGTTTCCCAACCGGGGTGCCGTCTGTCGAGAGCAGGGGTGCCGTGTAAAAAATCATTTTTTAATATTTTTAAATTGCTAAAATGTTCAAAAAAGCAGCTATTATATAATATCCATTTTTGATGTCGCCAATAAATAGAGATGCACTGAAATTTCGGCTGCCGAAAATTAGTTCACCGCTCAGGATTCACTTTCACGTGGTGTGACGCTCTGCGTATTATCCCGCTCTATGCGTGTGCGCTCCCCTCACAGTCGCTCGCGGCCCATGTGAGTGAGCTTTCTAGGATTAAACATTATTTGGATAATTGGTAAAACAATTTTTTTTTTAATCTCTTAATAGCCCTACTGTTTGTTAGACCTACCTGAAAAACTAAAACGCAATTTATTTCATTTGTAGGCCTATCGTTATTTTTTATTTGTGCTGTCATTAGTAATTTCTTTATTTGTTCTTATTTTATTATTAACTGCTTAGCCTCGTAATTTTTTATTCAATTCAAAGTTTTAAATCAAGCTATCGTGCTACTGCAACAAAATTACCCAACTGTAAAATCAAAAATACACTGAGTGAGCAAAACTTTGTTTAATTACTATTATAACTAGCTATATCATATGAATAAAAGCCTACATTAAAATCTGTCATATAAATTGGTCTCTTCATTAGAAATTAGCCTACTGATTGCCACGGAAACACTGGGTTAGATCACTTAGAATTTGTCCCCAAAATATTGTATCTACACACACTCACACACACAGTTATTTTATCCCCTCATAGTCAATATAGTCAATTACCGTACTGCAGCCTATTGCATTTTGATTTACAGTTTGATATAACCACCCATTAAACGAAGCCCAAGTGCCACCTACAGGCTATGTGAAGTGTAGTCTGTTGGGGCAAGAACAAGCGAGATCAGCACATGAAAGGACAACTTTTATGTTAATAATGCAACAATAGTGGGCTAACGTAATTAGAATATGTAACGTTATACACTACTATAGTAACTGCGAGGCTAAATTGGAATTTGAGCCCCTGAGTAACACTTTAGCGTCCCATGGCGGCCATCACTAAGGGCAGCATTATTACTTTACTAAAATTCCCTAGTTACTCCAATGTTTAGAGATCCACTAAAATACTTTATTATGTTTAATAGCCTTTATGTCAAAGTGGGGACTTCTAATCTAGTTTCAGACCATACTAGTACATTAATCGACTTCTCCTCAAATCGAGCCAGTCACGCTTAACTGATACAGAAAAATGGAGCTGCCATGGCTGCTCATGCCGTCTTTTATCCTTTTGCTGAATGGAGTTGAATTGTGCCTTGCAGATAACGGTGAGAACTTAGAGAATTTTGATTTGATGCTGACAATTGTCTATCTTTGGTCGGCCGCGTTTTAATTAGTTAACTTTCACATCTGAATCTTAATAGCCTACTGTAGATTTCTGTACCTGCGTCTTTAGCATTAGCGGAGTTTAGACCCAGCAAATCTGATGTTTTTAGAAGTCTTAAATTCATAAAGTCATAGCATTACATGTTTTATGCATTACCAAACAAAAAAAATATCTTCCTCAGTATTTTTGTCTTGTTTTGCAATATAAAATCCAAACATCCTTAAATGAAGATACATTCAGTTGTGATGCGAATTAACGTAATCACATGAAGTCTTGTTTTCTGAGAACAAAATATGAGTTTATGCTTAAAACAATAAATATCTTTTGATGGGGAAATGAAATGTTTTTTCCCTCTTTGAATTAGGTCGATTTTTCTGAGACCGCTGGCAAATGTTTGTTTTTGTTTAATCATAAACTCATTGACTTGATCAAACTTGATCATTTTAAACAATTTCTCAGAAAACAAAACTTTTGTTTCTCAAGAAAATGTCATGATTAGACATTTGCAGTGGAAAACAAGGCAAAAATACTGAGGACGAGCATTGCTTTTTTGCAGTGTGATCAGAGGGTACGGGTTTTTTTGTAAAATTAATTAAAAAGTAATGGAGATCAGTTGCAAATTGCATTTTTAAGCTTATGTATTGCTTATTTACATTTAGAGACACTATTGATGTATTGTGTTCCATTTAATTTATTCTTTGGTCTTGAATTTACCCTCATAAAACCTGCAAAAACCCTGTTTTGAAAATACAGCACGTCTTACTATTATAACTGTCAACAATCTGTGTGTTTAGGAAAAAATATTGAATGAACAGATTGTTTTTTTTTGTTGTTTTTTTTCCCCCCTCTCTTTCCATCAGCCAAACGCTGGCAGTCATTCATCAGGAAGATCACAGAAGCCACAAATAATTACCAGCCATGCAGTCAGGAGAACTGCAGCTGTCATCTCAGGTCAACTTATAAAGTAGCCCTTGTTCATAGCAGATCTTCCCAAAGAATACACACTGCAGATGCATGCATCTGTATAATGTAAACTTTCCTCCATCGCTCTTTTGATTGCAGTGTCCTGAAAGATGACCTTAGGCCATTTAAAAACGGCATGTCTGAGGGGTTGATGGCAGACACAGTCCACAGAGGTGTTGGTACGCACTACCAGATCATCGGGAACAAATTGTACAGAGAACAAAGCTGCATGTTTCCAGCAAGGTTGGTGAAGTGTACGTTATTTATTAATTAATTTTTTTAGTAAAACCATGATCCTATTGTGTGCGTATGGATGTTGAATATCAGACATTTATCCTTTCTTTGCAGATGCAGTGGTGTCGAGCATTTCATCCTAAAAGTGGTTAACCGGTTGCCAGATTTGGAGGTGGTGATTAATGTGCGCGACTATCCACAGGTTCCTGGATGGGTTCAGCCAGTCTTGCCTGTACTTTCTTTCAGTAAGGTGTGTACAACCACACCAAGTTTAGCACAATTGAACAATGTACTAATTTGATTGTAGGGTATATCAGTAGTATATGGTATATCCTGCTTAATTATATTAAGGCAATTTACATTACTTTGTGCCTCTGCCTTCAGATTACTAACACTGACTGACCCCATAGCTTCACTTTTTATTAATGTAGAAATAAAAAAATATATATATAGATTTTTTGTAAAAGAATATGCATGAATAGAACATTCTATTTTCAACATTCAAAAAGTGTTTGGTTTGTTTATAAACAAAATTAATATGAGTAGGATTAATATTAGTAGGGCTCTAATTGTATTAATGTCTTTTAACATTATAGTTATACTTTTGTTCATTGTTTAGACGGCAGACTACCAGGACATCATGTATCCTGCATGGACGTTTTGGGAGGGAGGTCCTGCTGTATGGCCCATTTATCCCACTGGACTGGGCCGATGGGACCTCATGAGGGATGACCTGAAAACGTGGGTAGCAAAGATTTAAGAATGCTTGAGAGTATACAGAGGGTTAACTGCATTACAGTCGATTTCAGGCCATTATATATCTAATGTTTAGTTCACACTCTTCAGATCAGCTGCTCGATGGCCCTGGAAGAAAAAAAAATCCGATACAAAAAAATAAGTCAAACATTTAGATATCAAACATTTATTCTGTCTTTTTACAAAGCATTCTGTTGCAGCTGAATAACATGAGCAAAATTCAGCAGCCTACAGATCACTTAGGCCTACAAGAGGAACTTAGCCTATGCTTTTAACAAAAATACCACAGCAAAAACAACTAGATTAATATCAATTTAAAATATTAAAGTGTTAAAGACAAGTAAACAGTGCTCACCTTGTGCCTTCGGGCAGTCCTTATATCGAGTCCTGATACGTGAGTTTGAACGAGAATGCACGCGTTGTCGGTAATGCTTAGACGGACATTATGTGAAAATGTGGACAGTGTCAAAATAAAGGTGCCTATTTTTACTACAGATATCGATATTTTACACGTGGCATCGATGCATCGTATCGGCAGACATCGTATCGATGTATCGATCCATATCGATGAATCGTTACACCCCTATTCAAAATGTCATTTAATTTTTATGATTTGTTACCATAACATATTAGTAGGGTTGGGTATCGTTTGAATTTTATCGATTCTGATTCTGCTTATTGTTATCGATTCCTATTCTTATCGATTCCTAGTTTCGATTCCAATAAGATAAAAAATCCGATACAAAAAAATAAGTCAAACATTTAGATATCAAACATTTATTCTGTCTGTTTACAACGCATTCTGTTGCAGCTGAGTAACATGAGCAAAATTCAGCAGCCTACAGATCACTTAGGCCTACAAGAGGAACTTTGCCTATGCTTTTAACAAAAATACCACAGCAAAAACAACTAGATTAATATCAATTTCAATATCATAAATAAATACAACTGAACAAAATCTCAGGTACAGAAACTGTAATTAAAAGTTTTAAAACACTGCATAGTTTTCTTTTCATAAATAAAATGTAGATTAATTAAAGTTATTAAATATATTCAGTCAAGATCAGTAAATGATTTTCTTTTGTTCTTTGATAAACATTATTGACAGGCAGCGCGTTTATAGGTTGCTGTCTCTTTAACACCGAACACACGCAGACCTAAAAATACTGTACATGCGTTTTCTTTCTCATCTGTTTACATTCACTTAAGACAAAAACGGCTGTGTTTATGTTGATATACTGACGTAGTTTTCTGCATACTGGTCGATAAATATGAAAGAAGTCAGTTCCGACCCGGAACAACCTTTTTTGAGGTTATTATTATGGCAATGCACGGAACGGTTCGAGAACGGACACAAACTGGGAACCCGCACCGCGACCGCAGTTCTCTGTGCTTGCGCTGCACGCAAACAAGGCGCAAGTTCTTTTCGTTCCTGCAATTAAATCGTTTTAAATCACATTAAAATGCGAACGCAGGAATCGTTAAGAATCGAAATGCACGCGCCTTATCGAATACCCGGTTCTTGGAAATTTGGAACCGGTTTTCGATACCCAACCCTAGGAATCAGTTTTATATGTATCGTATTAATTGGATTTTAAGGGGCATACAGGCTTGGGAAACACTATGCTAGAGACTATGCTAGAGGTGCTTTAATATTTTCAGCAAACTCAAAATCAGTTTGTTTTTATCTTTCTGCTCTAGACGTTTTTTCTAGTCATTTCAGAACTACTATTTTGTTTTGTTGTTTTTCCTCAGGACACTCTGGGTAGACCCCCAGCCAAAGAAATCCCTCTAGTTGACCACTGTGAATACAAGTAAGACCGGTCTCATTTCTGCTTTTTCATGAGCTATAGCACTGAAACAGTGAACCACCATTAAGATATTTTGTTATATATCGTCTGTTCTCTTTATCCGTCAGATACCTTTTTAACTTCAGAGGTGTGGCTGCTAGCTTTCGTTTGAAGCATCTTTTCCTGTGTGGATCCCTGGTTTTTCATGTCGGCGAGGACTGGCTTGAGTTCTTCTACCCTCAGCTCAAGCCCTGGGTTCACTACATTCCTGTCAAACAGGACTTGTCTGATCTGAGGTAACTTAAACATTTTCCTCTGGCTAGCTGATATCCACCCTTTTCTTTAACACACATTTTCCCCTGTGTACCCTGTTGTGATTTTATGGTCCAAGTGTTTTACATTCTGTGCTTTTAATTATGTTAGCCGTTGGAGGTGAAATTTGTTGTTTTTGCAGAATAACCCTATAAACACTTAACTAAATTGTCTTTGTTTTACATGCACGTGTAAGGTATTATCTCCATTCACACTTTTGCGACGCTTTATCAATGGGCCTAGTAACAACGACAAAGGGTTCAAATCTAAGTTAGTGCTCAAAATAATTTGCATTTCACAAAAGTATGTTACATTTGTATTTCTATATCAAATATCATGACCACGAGCAATCAAAGTGCCAATTTCAGTCTTACATATACGACAAAAGGGGAAAAGGAAATGTTAACAATTAGGCAATATATTGTAAATGTAATCTGTGTAACATCTTCAGCTGAAATGTTCTGTTTACTCACCTTCATATTGTTCCAGACCTGTTAAAGTAATTATCATCAAACAAGTGAGATGTGTTCATAGAAATGTTAATGAGAACAGCAGCAGAGAACTGCTGATGTTCTAAAAACTAAACTGTTTTTCTTTCTGTTGTTAGAGAGCTGCTTCAGTTTGTGAAAGAAAATGATGCTGTAGCAGAAGAAATTGCTGTGAGGTAACAAATTGTTCATTCTTTTAATGAGTTTATTCTAGTATATACATTTCTGTCATGGTTCACTCACCCTCATGTCGTTCCAAACCTGTATGACTTTTTTTTCTCTGGAATATAAAAAAAAAGATATTAAATGTTTTAGTGTTTTTCTTGTTCATATAACAGAAGTCAATGGTAAACCAAACTGTTTGGTTACCAGTATTGTTCAGACTAGCTTCTTTTGTTTTGTGCAGAAGAAAAAAGGTGCTTGTAGTTTTGGAACAACATAGGTATGAGTAAATGATCATTGAATTTTCATTTTTGGCTAAACTGTCCCTTTAAGACATTGTCTGTGCTAATACTAATATTTATGGTTCTGTACTTCTTTAGGGGCCAGAGCTTTATTCTGAATCATCTCCGTATGGAGGATGTGTCTTGTTACTGGGAGAGGCTCCTCACTGACTTCAGCAAGCTGCTCAAATACAAACCCAAGAGAAAATCTAATTACAATCAGATCATCCACAGAGCCAGCAGATCTGAACTCTGACCTGAGGAAATCATAATGGGGGAGACCATCCTCCTTTTTGTCTGCCTTTATTCTTGCTCTTCATTCTGTTGCTCTTTAAACTGATCTTAACAAGCTGAAAATAGCGTTTAAAGCCAGCTCTGTGTGGTTAATCTAGTGAATCCTGCCAAATGTCTCTTAAGACTGTCTATATTGCTTCAAAGGAATGTTTTAAAATCAGTTAAGTTAAAATATAGTGATCTGCCTAATTATAAAAGAGACCTGTCCAGACCCTCATCCTCTGGATGTCAGAAATATTACACAGCTATAATATGCTTGGTGTCTCCATAGCATTCATCAGTCTCATCACAAGTTCTTAAGGTCATAAGAAGTCAGTTTGAAGTGGGGTGTTAAATCTGATGCAGGTGTAGATTCTTGCTCTTCATTCTGTTGCTCTTTAAACTGATCTTAACAAGCTGAAAATAGCGTTTAAAGGCAGCTCTGTGTGGTTAATCTAGTGAATCCTGCCAAATGTCTCTAAGACTGTCTATATTGCTTCAAAGGAATGTTTTAAAATCAGTTAAGTTAAAATATAGTGATCTGCCTAATTATAAAATAGACCTGTCCAGACCCTCATCCTCTGGATGTCAGAAATATTACACAGCTATAATATGCTTGGTGTCTCCATAGCATTCATCAGTCTCATCACAAGTTCTTAAGGTCATAAGAAGTCAGTTTGAAGTGGGGTGTTAAATCTGATGCAGGTGTAGCACAATGCAAAAATAATTGATTGTGAAACAACATAACAGTCAACGACCTGCCAAAAATGTTTCCTTAAAATTGTATGGCTTCATGGTCTTAGTGGAATTGTTACTGTTTAAGCAACACTTTTTTATTTCTCCTCTTGAGGTTGTAGACATTTTTCCATTGCAGATTTATGGGGTAATTTCAGTTGAATAGTTAGGACTAGTTATTTAAAGTGTCAAAACTGAAGCCAGTTCAAATGAATCCTGTCATCTAGGCCATAAGACCACATTCAATACATTTGTTACATGAAATAATGTCAGTAGATTACTTTGATCAAGTGTAGAATTACTTTTTGTTGTAAAATATAATTTCTGGATCCAAATTATGATTAGTGATTTTGGATGAACTCACCATTTTGAACATGTCTTCTATGTCACTATCAATGGAACAATACCAGCAAAACCTCAGTAAAACAGTGTTAGTAGTAAAGTATTGATGACGTTACTTTTGGTTCCACACTTAAGTGCCACTAGAGGATCATTTGAATGTAAGCATAGCTGAATGATACTGAGATGTTGAATATGTTCTAGTATTCCAGTAGATAATTGTCACCGTGTCTGTAGATTTAAAGTTTTCTCAGTCATTTTTATGACCTCAAACTAGTTAGTTGTTTTAATAAAGGTAATCATGAACAATAAAAGCTGTTTTTTAAACGCTGAACATGTTTTTTTTCTTTATGCCTTTATATTTTGATAAGCAAGATAAACAAGACATTGATTTTAAACCCCGATATAATTAGTCGGGTCCTCCACCACTAGATGGCGTAACTGCACCATTGTGTAAGGAAGTGAACATGTTGACATTGTAATGGACGCTGAAGGAGCATTGAAAGAAAGCAGGTGAGACATGTCGGATTTTATGAGAATAAGTCCATATTGATTTATACTACGCTTTGCTCCTGTACGTGTACTGTCATTTACAGTCTACTCTTTTTAGCATTTTACAAATGATCCTAAATTGTTAAGCGATGTTATTTGCCTACACACTGTAAAATATACTCAGTACGTAAGACTAGAATTCCGTTAGTGCTTGTTGAGAAAGTAGAATATCATTTTTTGCTTCGTTAAACATGCTTCTCTGCACTTGTTTTGAATATGTTGAATTCTACTTTGTGTTTGACTATTTTTCCTCCAAAGCAGCATTTATATTACCTTTGGTTTAATTATGATTTGATATAATTGTGGGGTGTCTTCGCATGTACAACTGGGTTTTTATTTCGCAGTTCTTCTGAGAAAAATAGAGAATTGTGAGATAAAAGCCCTAGTTAAAAAAAGACATATGCTATAATTTATTTAAAATGCATTTATTTTATACTAAGTATACTTCAAATCCATTAACATATTTACTGACATATCACTTAAGACATACTGATGTAAAATTATAATTAATATATATATATATATATATATATATATGTGTGTACTTTTTATTTTAAAAAAGTAGAATTACGAGATATTATTATTAGATATAAAGGAATTTTAAGATGTAAACTTGTATTTGCAAGGATAAGAGTCTAAATTCTTTGTTTATGTAACTTACATTTTTTCTCAGAATTACGAGAAATAGGCTAAAGTCTGAGTTATGATATAAAAAGTGGCAATTATTTTTTATTTTTTAAGCCCATGGCGGAAACAAGCTTCTATAATTTATTCCTCTGTGATGCAGAAACTCTTTTTGACAGCTGTGTTGCTTCAGGTGTTAAATGCAGCCTGTCTGTATGATTCGGTCGTCTAACCATAGGGCATGCGTGTCAGTGTGGATGAACATGCATAAACACGCTCTTATACCTCTGGCCTTGTGTTTCTGTGATTGAACAGCTTGTTGATGCGTACTGCAGGCCGGCTGGATTCATCACCCACATGTGGGGGGACAGATGCACATGGACTTGAGGGCTCACATCTGAGTCTTCTGGGGTTCAGTCTTCCTAGTGTCCATGCGTCTGATAGTACCTCCACACAGACCTTACCACAGCACCTACGTAAACCAGAGTTCCCTGACACAGGATGGGATCGTATCAAAGATCTTTTCCACAGGAGGTAAGTATCAGTGATGTGTCTGCAATACATAACACATTGTTGTGTTGCTCTGCCATTGTAATCGGACTTTAAATGTGTAGTTCTTTGCCTTTCACCGGCCTTGTTTGGTACACGTGATATGAGATTTAATTCACAATTAACTAAGCACAGCCAGATGATATGCCATATTTGTAACACACAGTATCAGAGATATCTTTATGGAACATTTGTGGGCATGGTGCATTTGCCTCTCTTTGACTCTGTTCTGCTTTCCACTCAGCGAGGGTCAGATGTACTCAGAGGAGTTAAGGAATATAGTAAAGAGTGGCATTGCTGCAGCTGTGGTTGGGATGGTCTATGGAGGCCTACCAGGAGCAAGACATGCCCGTGAGAGATTCATCCAGCTCAGCCAGGCTGAAATTTACCAAAACAGAGTGGATGCAGTGGTAAGACAAAAAGAACAGAGGCTGAAAATATATGCATTACATGTATCTGTTTTGTAGCAACAGATTTACATTCACACTGACATCTGCTCTCATTGTCCATTAATGCATCAGTATACTTGAGTACTGTAAAATGTTTTTTTTATGCTTGAATTGCTTTGTTTTTATATTTTGTACAGCTGAGAAATGCACATTATTATTTTATGAGGCTGAAATGTGCATACAGTGATGTTTTGTGTATATATTTGTGTCTCTCCAGCGCTCCGCCCATAATGCATCTATTCGTGGGTTTGTGCGCTTTGGCTGGAGGTGGAGCTGGAGGGTAGCAGCTTTTGTGACCATGTTTAAGTAAGTTTAGATATGTTTAGGTTTAATTTGTGAAACATTTAATTACATGTCTAAATGAACTTGTCTGACATAAAGATATAGTTCACCTATAAATGAACATTTGCTGTAAATGTACTCACCCTCAGCCAATTCAAGATGTAGATGAGATTGTTTCTTCATCAGAACAGATTTGGAGATATTTAGCATTATATCATAAGCTTGCCAATGCATCCTCTGCATTGAATGGGTGGCGTCAGAATGAGAGCCCAAACAACTGATTAAAAACACTACAGTAATCCACATGACTCCAGTCCATCAATTAACCTCTTGTGTGTAAAGCTGAATGTTTGTATGAAACAAATCCATCAAACCATCGCTTCTGATTAAAATACAACCCCATAATTCATAATATTACTTCCTCCAGTAGAAAAAGTCCATCCCCTGTTGTCCTCTCACATCGAAATCCACCCATATACAGTCGAACCAAAAATTATTCAGACACCAGATATAATTTTTGATATTTTTTTACTAGTGGGTGCAGGACACTATAGTTAACTTATGTAAATGAGGATAGCAAAATAAAGTAAACTGTGACATATTATACCCCAGAATTCTTCGTACAGTGGACCTCCAGTGGAAAAAGTCCATCCCCTGTTGTCCTCTCACATCGAAATCCACCCATATACAGTCAAACCAAAAATTATTCAGACACCAGATACAATTTTTGATATTTTTTTACTAGTGGGTGCAGGACACTATAGTTAACTTATGTAAATGAGGATAGCAAAATAAAGTAAACTGTGACATATTATACCCCAGAATTCTTCGTACAGTGGACTTCCAGTAAAATTGATAAAAAAAGGTTTGACTGTATTTGGACTGTTTTGTCTTGTATAATCCATAATATTGCTTTCTCCAGTGAAAAAGTTATCTTGTCTGAATGAGGAGAGAAATATGCACAGATCAAGCTCTGTCAAGCCAAAACAGTTCTAAAGAAATAGGTTTTGATGTGAGAGGACACCAGGGGATGAACTTTTTCCACTAGAGAAAAAGTATTTTATAGATTCTGATTCGGAAGTGACATCTTTGTGGATTTGTTTCTTACAAACATGCAGCTTTTCACTTCACAAGACGTTATTTGAAGGACCGTGATGTAAGTCGTGTGACTTGTGGATTATTTGTGATGTTTTTAACAGCTGTTTGTTCTCTGATGGCACCAATTCACTGCAGAGGATCCATTAATGAGCAAGTGTCCTAATGCTAAATTTCCTTTAAAGAAACAAACTCATCTACGTCGTGGGTGGCCTGAGAGTGTGGACATTCTTAGCAGATGTTCATTTTTGGGTGAATTTTTCTTTAATTTTACAATTAATGTATTATGGACCAGTTTCACAGACTGTGATGACGCATTTTAACAGTCATCAGCATCGCAAATCATGCAAAGTTTTTAAATATTAAAAAAAAAATTTTTTTTAATGTATGTACATTTACAACATACTATACCTTTGCATACAATTACAACAAAAAAAATAGTTAACACTGCTGTGAGGGTGTTTTCTAATATAGTTTTTATTGGCATAAGTTTTTGTTTTTTTTTCTCCATTCTGATTGCCGCTATCAGTCTGTCTCTATTTTTGTCCTCTTTTTGAAAATTGTGAAAACATTACTGATTTAGCCAATGGTGTGATTTCGGGGAAGGCTGAAAAGGGTGGTAGGACTGTTTGGGGAAACCTATTTGAAAACAGTCATTATTTAATTTATTTTATTTTCTTTAAGCACTGCTAGTTAGTTCAAATTAGAAACTATACCTTTCCAATGAGCAGCATTATTTCAACAGCAGATTTGAGTTTTAGAAATATATTCAGCATGTGTTTGAAAACAGTAGAATAGGTTTAGAACTACTGTACTAGGATTGTTGCTGCAGGAAAATTAATAGCCTGTCAGGTTTCCGCAATTATGAAAAACGCTTTATGCTGTTCAAATCTTTTTTTTACAGCACTGTAAGTACTGGATTGACGGTGTACAGAGACCAAAATGCTCTGAGCCATTTTGCTGTTGCAGGTGGTAAGTTCACAAACTCCTCATCCTCTGGGTCTCTGGGTGATGGTACTTTAGTAGGCCTGTGTCTGTGCCTCAAGTTAAGTGATTTTAAAAGCATGTTTGCTGAACATACTAAGATGACAGGATAAAATGACAGTATTCACATGTGTTTGAGTTCAGCTCTCACAGGAGGAGTGTTCCGGCTGAATCTGGGATTTAGAGGGCTGCTGGCTGGTACGGCCATAGGAGCTGTTCTGGGGTGAGTAGAACAGAGCGAGAGAGAGAGAGAGAGAGAGAAGGAGATTGTGTGTGTGTGTGTGTGTGTGTACTGGTATATATGGTTTATGAGGACACAAATGTGTATAATGACATGGGAATTAAATTACTGGTTGATATGTCCCGATCCCAATAAAGTTTTCACACGCTTTTGGTCCGTGAATTAGATCTAGCTCGGGACGCGTGCTGTCTGTGGAGGTTTGGCCAGGACCGGTGTTGTGCCGAATTCTGCACCCCTGCCAGATTATGCACCCCCTCGTTGAAGTCGGACTAGACAAGTAAAATTATTGTCTTGTTTTTAGAAGCAAGCAAAATAATCTGCCAATGGGGTAAGCAAAATAATCTTGTTTCAATCAGAAAACAAGATTATTTTGCTTACCCCATTGGCAGATTATTTTGCTTGCTTCTAAAAACAAGACAATAATTTCACTTGTCTAGTCTAGAAAATCCTTCTTGATTTAAGAATTTAGATATTTTGGCTGAAAACAAGACAAAATAGTAAGAAAAGCATTTTTTGCAGTGTGTCAACAAAACATTTGGATTTATATATTTTGCTCACTTGAGATATGCAAATGAAATAAATTCTTAGCATATAGTTTCCCGAAAAATTGTTCTTTGTGTTCTTTTATTGTTGATAATCCATTGCATATTAATATAATGTTGTAACTGAAATGAAAATTGACTATCATTCAGCACTCAGAACAGAAGAGTTAAATGCTGTTGTTCTGAATATCAGCATGGCTGTGATTACCTGCACACCTTGTGTTTATATCAGCAGCACTCTCGCTCATGTGATATTGCTTAATTGCTCTTTGACAAACATGTGATGTTATAACAGGCTGCCGGCTGGAGTTGTAATCATTGGTCTGCAGAAGCTGGGGGGCGAGACCATGCATGAAAAGAGACAACGGGAAAGACGAGAGCTACATGAGCTGAGAGTCGCTGAATGGTTAGTTACACCAGGAAAAGAGCATATTTTCATACTTGGACAGAATTGATAAACTAGTCACTTTGAGCCGAAAATTGAGCTGATGTCTCCATTACAGGAATGCTCGTCTCAAGCTTACAGATGATCTCATTGGGGAAATGAAGTGTGAGAAACATCAGGACACTGATAATGACCTTCAACGAATAGAGGAGCTCCTCAATCAACCTAGGAATGAGAAAGGTGCAAAGAGCTCTGACAGCCAGTAACATCAGACTGGAAAATTAATTAACCAAAACTCCTGGCTGAACATTCTGACTATGGTCTTTCTCGGATGTTCTACTAAATTCCTGGTACCTGCTCCCAGTATATGTGTCAGTCACCATCATCAATGTAATACTTACCTTCAAATGCAAATGTTATTTACTGCACTTATGTGCATATCCCTATTTATTTTAAAACCTGCAGAAACTTGATGAAGCTGATGCAGTTGGGTAAAGTATTTGGATTAGACACACTGACAAGTAACAAATGTTTTGTGTGTTATTGTAATTGATGGGTTTAACCAATGTAAAATATCAGTGCCAAATAAACTCAGCAAAAAAGAAAAGTCTATTTTTTAATGTATTTTAAAGATAATTTGTAAAATCCAAATAAGTTTACAAAACAATGTTTTCCGTACTTGTTCAATGAACCTTATGGAACCTTATGATTTATACGCTGGTTCTGACTCTGGGGGGGGGGGACAGAACATAAGAAAGATGGCCAGGGCCCCTGCTCACCTGCGTAGACATACCATAGGAGGCATGAGGTGAGTGCTACAGAGAGACAAGAACAGTTATTTTAACATTTTTCATTAAATCATATGTACATATATAAATATATTTAAGATTATTGCTGGAAATAAAAGCAGTTGAAAGTGAGAGAATGTTTTTTTTTTTTGCTGAGTTTATATACATCTTAAATTATGATAAAATGATTTAGACTTGAATAGCTCAGCTCTCAAACAATATGAAAGTAACTACCTTCTGATCACACTTCAAAAAATAAGTTTCTTAAATCAAGATACATTTACTTGTATAGCAAAATAACATTAAATACATCTTGTTTTATGAGAGATTAATCAAAATTAGAGGAGGTTAGAAGTACGTTTGTGATTAAGAAGAACATATATCTGCAAATGGGGTCAGAAAAATCAACTTCATTCAAAGGGAAAATAAGTTTGCATTCCCCATGGACAGATATCTGTTCTTGTTTTAAGCATAAACTCAGTTTTGTTTCTCAACAAGACTTCATATCTTCATTTTGCATCTCTTCATTATGCAGTAAATGTATCTTGATTCAAGGACCTTTGTATATTTGTATTGGAAAGCAAAATCACTGAGCAAGATATTTTGCAGTGCATCTTTCTGCTCTGATTTAAGATCCTTATAAGGCTTTAATTTGTGGAAGCACAAATTAACTCTCTTTAAGCCCTGCAAATATAAATAATAATAAAAACCTGTATAACTACTCACTGAGGTTTGATGTTGTCATGAAGAGGATAGTTATATTTCAAAATTACTCTGACAATACAGCATATTGAGCAGGGATGATGCCTTGAGCTTGTCAGCTGCTGGGTTAGATCTCCTCTGTAGACAAGATGTGACAACAGCTGGGTCTCTCTCAGACAGATCTGTTAGAATTTATGACAAGATTTAAAGGGCCAAGAGACAGTAATAGACAGCCTGCTGGTCCTCATTTCCAGATAAGGTAGTTAACTTTTGGCAAACAGCAGGCAAGAAAGAATTAACCCAGTATTCAAAATGGCTGTGAATAATGTATACACATTTAAAAGACAGATTTATGTAAAATACATATTATGAAGTTTACAACCAAATTTGATACACCAGTAAGTTTTTCATTGCCGGCTAAAGCAAAGAACGTTTGATTTGATTAAGCTGTGCAGTGCAGTTACACATTCAAGTAGATATTAGACGGATTTATGCAGCCATTTGATTGACTGGAAAAGTTGGATGCTTGTGGAATATGCTACTCTTGTTACCCATTATTCCAGTCAAACTGAATAATTTCAGTGAGAACATGCACTACTTGTAATTGTAATAAAAAGTCACATTGACTGCACAGACAAGAAGACTCAGTGCTCCGTGTGCCTCTATCACTGTAATTACTGTGGAAGACCAATAGCAACACCATGAGTACAAATTGTGAATTGCACCTTTTGCACAAAAACCTTGGCAGAAAGTAATGTCAAGTTTGTTTCATTCTCATTTGAGGGAATGAAATACTGTACCCAGTTCACAAATGTCAGAAACAAAAAGAGTAATGGGATCCCACTATGAAAAAGTACTTATATTGTCAGTGACAACATGGATGGAAGAGGAGCCCTTGAATCCAACATCAGAATCAGCTGATGAACAAAAATTAGAAACCTGTTGTTGCTCTGCTTTCTGAAAGCAAAAATCAAGCTGATAATACCAACCAACTCCCTATGGCCTCTCAATAGTCCAGTCAAATTAGCTTAAGTTTTCACTTCAGAATGTGGCAACACAACTGGTCTTTAATTAGCCAAAGTGAACCAGTCTCACCCCTTCTGATCTAACTCCAGTGGCTCCCAGTTGTGACCAGAATTAAAATAAATAAAATTTAGACACTGTCTTATTAGGACTGCCCCTGGAACAGCACCTCCCTACCCCAGTTCACTACTTCAAGTGTATTCTTCCTCAGCTCAGGTCACTGAATGAGCGATGTCTTTATGTTCCTTCACGGTGAGGCAAAAAGTGACTTTACAAAACCTTCACCGTCTCTGTTCCTCTCTGGTCGAATGATCTGCCAACCGCTACCCAACTACCCAAGAAGCAGCTGAAGTCAAGTCACCTTTATTTATATAGCACTTTATACAATACAGATTGTGCCAAAGCAGCTTTACAGTGTTAAACAAGACAATAGTGTCAATAATGAAAACAAAATTCAGTTCTGCTGTTAGAGCAGCTCTAAAAAGAGAACAATAGTAAACAGTCAGTTTTTCAGTTGAAGTCAGTTAAGTGATGTCTTTGTCCAGCTCAGTTCAGTTCTCTTCCAAAAGTGTCTTTGGAATCAAGCTGACGATATTGCCAAAACAATTAAGTGTCCCCAACTAAGCAAGCCAAAGGTGAAAGTAGAACCAAAACACTATTGGTGACAGAAATGGATTTTAAAAAAAACCTTGGGAGAAACCAGGCTCAGTTGTGGGGCCAGTTCTCTTCTGGCCAGATGAAACCAACATGGTGTGGTCTAATTCCAGACTGCATCAAAAGTCAGACTGTGAAAAGGATTCTTCTGGTTCTCATAGTCTTTGTTGAGGATTTGTGCCAATGACCAATGAAGTCTTTGCAGGGGATCTGTCTCTGGGGTTCATCTATTTGTCTAGGTCTCTGCTGACAGTGCTGATCCACCATCTGATCTGGATATGGACTGCATACGGGTGGCTACAGTGACCTTGGAATAAGAATGAAACAGACTAATATGCCATTCTTCTTATGATGTAACTTCTTACATGTGGTGTTATGACAAGTGTTCCTGGTTCCGGTTGACCTAATTAATGTTCCATAACACATTTCTTCCACAAACACATTTTGTAAGTCGCTTTGGATAAAAACATCTGCTAAACACAAAAATGTAAATGTACTTGCATGAATTATAGTAGATTGTCTCCATCATCCAAAATGCCAGTGTTGAGCCAAATAGTAGGCATGCGCAGTTCGTGAAGGCTAAACAGATTTGGAATAAACAGAGGAAGACACAGGCTTGTGATTGTTTTAAAATTATTTTTAATTATTATGCTATTATTATTATGATATTGATTTACAGTCAGGGTGCTAACTTGGGTCGGTTACGTCTGATCCCACTAAATTACAGGAGGGGGGTTTTGGTATAAAGTAGCGCACTCGTAATATGAAACTTTACTTGTAAATATGAAGATACAGATCTATATGGCTCTGACTGAATTTTGAATTGTAAATGGGCTAATAAATGTGATTTATTCCTCAAACATGGGTTGCGTTCCCCAAAAGCATCGATAGCTATGATCGCAAGTTCTATTGAACTCTATTGGTAACGACGGAACTTGCACCACAGTTGTTTTTGGGAAACGCACCAGTACCCTCACTGCAGAACACAAGATCCCGGAGGCGAGGTTGGATCCACATCAAGGGGGTGGAGATGGGTAGGTTTAGGGGTGGAGATGGGTGGGTTTAGGGATATGTCAGGTGGGAGGAGTTGGATCTGGATCCACCCTCGCCCCCTGGATCGTGTGCTCTGCAGTGAAGACCATCTCAAACGAACCAGTTAAGCATGAAAGTCTCTCTCCTACAGAACAAAAGCGGTCGTTTCTAAATTTGGGGGGCATTTTCAAGTTATGTAGCATCAATAATACTCCAATATGTAAGGGATATCCCGCTTATTCCATGGCCATTTGCGTTATAGACAAGTTAAAACTAGTATTGCTCTTTACAGCGCAATATTTGACCAATGGGTAAAAATGAGTTATTTTCGTCAGTTACGGCATGTTAGCTCTAGCAGTCTGCCCGCTTCAAATCAGACACAGAGATGAAATAGTGCGTAAGATCACATTTATTTGAAGTAATTATATCATGCATTTCAATTAATCATCGATCGAGAGAGAGAGAGAGAGAGAGAGAGAGAGAGAGAGAGAGAGAGAGAGAGAGAGAGAGAGAGAGAGCAATGGCAGTTGCCTGCGTGCTGCTTCTGCGCGTATCTCTCTACAAATTACTTTAAAAACCATCGTTGCTGGGGAATATAATGTAGCGATCTAGTATCTAGGCTATTTTATTAATAGAAATCGCGGAGAAGAGTTGAAAACAAGTTTATGTGTGTGTGCAGCGCAATCTGCGATCTCTCTCTCTCTCTCTCTCTGTGTGTGTGTGTGTGTGTGTGCGTGCGCGCGCGAGTGTTGTGTGTTGGTTAGTGTGCATCAATTAAAGCAGCGCAATATGGAACGGTGATTAAACTGACTTGCTATATTGCTAGAGTTAGAGGGTCAAATAAAGATGGAAGAGATGTGTTTTAGCCGATTCTTGAAGATGGCTTTAGGACTTTAGCTGCTCGGACTGAGTTGGGCCGGTGTAGCAGTCGATTCTGTTCCCCTCGGAATGTCTGTTTCCCTTTACGCAACCATACTACAATTCTTGCTTAGTTGCCGAGTTACCGAGTTACCATACGTACGATCGGAACTAGCGTGCGCAAGAAGCTCAACTGGATCGTATATCCAGTTGAGCTTCTTGCGCCCGCGGCGGGCGGGCTTGCGACAACCACATGTGACGACCCGGGCTGGACTCCGCTTCGTCCACAGTGAAAGCCGATCCGGTGATCCACAGCGCGAAGTTGATGTATTTCCTCAGCGTCCAGCACGGATCAGCTCCAGGCATGACGAAGCGGATATGGTCTTCTTTTGGAAGGCCAAACAAACTAGTTTCGCTTTCACAACGAAATACACAGCGCCTTCACTACATACTACAGTGAGAATAAAAGTTACGCCTTCTTTCTTTGCGTGAACATTTGGGCGGCGTTATGCAAATCTTCCCACATCCTGATGTAGACATGTGGGGGCGTGTTAGAACGAGCCGTTTTAGGTAGGCGTGGTTGACTCTTAACTTTTATAAAGAATATCTCTTTGGATTTGAGACTTTAGTGTTTGCAACTTTACAGATCTTTGTTATGCTCCAAGAGCTTGTAACACTCCAAAGAGAAAGGAAAAATTGAAATCGCATCATATGACCCCTTTAAGGCTTTGGCTATTCTGTTTTATTCTGTTTTATACTGTCTTATACTTATTCATTTATGCTAATTTATTTTTATTTTTTTATTATATGCCTTGCTGTTGTTGTATTTATGTGTGCACTGAAAGCTTAAAAATCCTTGTGTGTGGTGTGTGCAAAACATACATTAAAATAAATATACAATGAACCATAAATGTTGTGTACAAATCAGAACCCTATGCACACATGAACATTTTCATAGATACTGATTTTTTTTCTTTCCTTTATTCAATAAACTACAAACCTGGTTAACAGACTCTGTGCCTTGGTCAGTAAGAATTATCTTTGGTGCCCCAAACCTGTAAGAGAAATTAATGCGGTGAGAGACAAATACTTCAGATTTATTCAGAATAGCATAGGCTATTTTGTGTAATAGTCAACCAGGACACAAATGTACTCATTTCCATTGTTGGTCCTGGTGACTTTTCCCAATAAATCCATGCCCAGCTGTTCCAGAGGCTTGTCCACCTTAAAATTAAAATAGCAACATTAATACATTTGCATTTTGTGACCTCATGACTTCCCTATCTCAAAACCCATGCACATCTGTGGACAACAAGCTTTCATACACATATTGGGATGTACTTGGGCTCCTGCTTGATGGACGGTTTGCTAAACTGGCACTGGGCACACTGCAAAACCTGATGTTCAGAAATAAGCACATGAGAAATGCATTCCATAACATAATCAGTTTATATCACAGCAATGTTGAAAAGGAAAAAATGTAGTTGCCTATGTACCCATTTATCAATGTCCACCCCCATTCCAGGCCAGTAGAATCTAGCTAAAATGGAAAGCTTGTTTTTTTCTAAAATAAAAATTGGCTGGCCTCTTTTTGTCCAGCAACCACTTTTCTTCTTAACTTTACATTGTTTTTTTGAGGAGATGTGATAAAGATTGCCATCTATTGAAATAGCATTATTGTTAAAATCTAAACAAATAACCTGCAATGAGGGTCTAAATGCCCAGTTGAAGGAATAGGCCCATTTAAACTTAAATTGGAAAACAGGTTATTGTCAATGTGCTTGTTGCTTCGAGTCAGTTAAGTATAGTTTCTTGACAAGCATTGACTTTTTGTCATTATCATGTCTTGGTGTATCACTATACCTCACTTTACTATGAGAAAACTTGTCAGTGTAGAGGAGTTATCACTTAAAGTAGTTTGCTTACCATCAACTTGGAAACTGGAGGAACATCTGCAAATGAAATATTTCTGCTCCTTTTTATGACAAATGGATAAACACCTCGAGTTTTGTAATTTAGAATTTCCTCATATAGGTTTGGATCCATTGCTTTCATATGCCAACAAGAACAGTCATCCAGATGACAACATTTTGTGGTCATCTCCCTAATTTATAACTGAGCTATTTTGAATGATTGATCAATTGATTTATCTGGTGCACTCTGAGATTGTATGCCAATTACAATTACAACATTATGTTCCACACTTGCATCTTGTATGCAAGGCTTTCTTGTGGGGAAAAAAAACTTTTGTATAAGTGTTCAGATTAAATATATTCCACTGTATCAGTAAGAAGGTAAACAGATTAATCAAATAGAATATTAAATAAAATGTATTGTTGCTCTATATGGAAACAGTAATAGCCTATGCCCTGAGTTTGGACGTCAGCACGGACAGATTACACTAATTTGCATATGCAAAATTAAACAGCAAAAACTCGGACATAAGACAAAAACAAAGGAACAATTGCAAGATGAATAAAAAAATCACAGAACATTAACTGGAGTGTGAGAATCATTTTACTATGCTGCAGTGTAGCAAGACATTTGTCATTTTTGCTTTCCGTACATCCAGTTGTGTTTTGGTGTATTGCATGCTACAGTGTTGCCAAATCCACATTCTTTTTTCCGCGGAATTGGGCTACTTTGGGGCAATGTTTGATTAACTGTTTGGTCCTGCAATTGATTCAAATCAAGATATTGACATCCTTAATGAAAAAGTATGTGCGGTAATACTAGAAGTAGCATCAGAATCAATTCCAAAAAGTAAAGGAAAAATGACAAGAAAAGCGGTTCCTTGGTGGACAGACAAGTGTAGTAAAGCTGTGAGAGATAGAAATAAGGCTTTTAAACTTCTTAAGAGAACGCATAATTATTATCATCTAGTTTTATTCAAGAAAGCTCAAGCAGTTGTGAGGAGAACTATAAGGCAAGCTAAAAGAGAAAGCTGGCGTGGTTTCTGTAGTGGAATTGGAAGAACAACTCCAGTAGGTGATGTATGGAATATGATCAAGAGAATGAATGGTAATAAGAAAGAGTGGGAATATCCAGTATTAGAATCAGAAGGAGAAATAGCTGTAACGGATAAGGGCAAAGCAGAAATGCTAGTAAAAACATTTGCACAAATACACGGGTCAGGGAACTTAGGTGAGGAAGGAAAGAGGAGGAGAGAAATAACAAAGAGACAAAATATAGAAGCATTGGTAAGGAGTGGGGGAATAGAGGACCAGCCAATTAACTTCCCTTTCAACAGAGATGAATTGAAGAGAGCTATTTGCAATGCTAATAAAAAACATTCATCTCCAGGAAAGGATCAGGTCGGATATATAGTGATAAGACATCTTAAAGATAGGGCTGTGGGAAAAATTTTAGAATTATATAATAGAGTATGGGAGGAAGGAAGACTTCCGAAAGTTTGGAAAGAAGCAATAATAGTACCTATAAGAAAGCCAGGAAAAGATCCTTCAAAACCCTCTAATTATAGACCGATAGCTCTTACATCGAATGTCTGTAAAATAATGGAAAGGATGATAACGGAAAGGTTGGCATGCTTTTTGGAAAAAAGAGGATTAATATCAAAATATCAAAAGTGGTTTTAGAAAAGGAAGAGGAACAATAGATCCTATTGTATGTTTAGAAAATGAAATTAGAAAAGCGCAGATAAATAAAGAGTCAGTAATAGCAGTATTTTTGGATGTCGAGAAGGCTTACGATATGATGTGGAGAGAGGGACTTTTGATCAAATTAAAAATGATGAATATAGGTGGAAGAATATACAATTGGATAAAAGATTTTTTGGAGAACAGAATCATCCAGGTAAGAATAGGGAATGAAGTGTCAAATACATTTCAGATAGAAAATGGAACTCCACAAGGGAGTGTAATAAGTCCATTATTGTTTTCCATAATGATAAATGATGTATTTAAATCAAGTAGAACCATTGCCAACCGCCATTAAATTTAAAAGAAGAAGAAGAAGAAGAACTGTTTGGTCGGGTTTATTACACAGACCTGGCAACCCGAGGCGAGGGGGAACAGAATCGACTGCTACACCGGTCATTCCACCAGGAGGGAACATTTAATTTAAAAGTCCGTGAAAGTGATTTTGTGCCTCTTTGGGATGGAAGTAGCAAGTCTAAAGTAATGAATTTAGGCAAAGGGGTGCAGAGCCAGTGGTGGCTTTGTAGGCAAACATCAATGCCTTGAATTGTATGCGAGCAGCTATTGGTAGCCAGTGCAAATTGATAAACAGAGGTGTGACCTGCTTTTTTCCGGCTCCTTAAAATTAATCTTGCTGCTGCTTTCTGGATTAATTGTAAATGTTTGATAGAACTGGCGGGAAGACCTGCCAAGAGAGCATTGCAATAGTCCAGCCTGGACAGAACAAGAGCTTGAACAAGGAGTTGTGTTGCAT